CTGGACATGCAAGAAAGACTGCAGGATCGAAACAGGACGACCTCACACTGCCTGCAACCATTCGCTCTCTTGAGACTCGATGAAATTGTTGGGACCGAAGCGATAGCAATTCTGCACTTTGAAACGAAGGTGTGCACGGAAATGGCGGGTCTGCGACACTGGCACATGCTTCTTGACCGCTTTGCGCCCTGAACGCTGCGAATCCAGCTTGTGTCCCAACACCCTTTTTCGGCTCTGCATTCGGGAACCCTGGTTGGGTTAGGGTTGAGCGCCTCTACCTAGCAAGACAATGTGAGAAAAGCGGAGGATTCCACTTAACACCGGGTCACAAAGCAGGGCGCTTATCGGCTGACCCCCAAAGCACAGCAAAGGCAAAGCAGCAAGGCAAGCGGCTATGCAGGAGTATCGATCAGAGCTTAAAGCCGTTAGGTTAACTGCACAGGGCAAAAGGAAACACCTACGCTCCTTAGCGCCAGCGGGCCTTTTCCTGGACGTCACTCAAAGTGCTTCTTGAGCAGTCAAGCTGCAGTGAAACAAAGTTGGCGTGAACCCTAACAAGCGAACAAGTGTACATGTAGGCGAATCGGTAGCGAATCACACCCGGGTGTCACACCCCCCTTGACGCGAGCTCACGCGTGAGGGAAGCGGAGTTGTAGGAGTGCTGCCGAGTCTGATTGTACACCGCACCATGCACCTCAAGCCAGATACGCTTAAAGCAAGAATATAGACCATTGTGCATGGGTCGGCCCCTGTTGCTTGATCGCGCCTATGCTTCACTCTGTACATGCAGCCTTTGCGGGTGATCAAGGTTTGCAGCGGCACGTCCTATCGAAGACGGCCGGGCTTTCCCAGATCGTGCGGGTTGTAATATATCGGATGCGCTCAGAACATCAGGTTGATCATGAGGTTCGGCAGCATCGTGCGTCAGTGAGACGAGATAGACACACGTGGAAAATACCATGGCTATCCATTGTACCCCTAGTGGGTCTTCTCAGCAGGCGAAGGCAAGGAAGGCTGAGGAAACAACGGAAATGATATCAAAGCAATAGCATCACCATCAGAATCGATGAATCAATGCTGCTTAAAAATTGTTGGAGACAAGCATTGACTCAAGGATTCAACCGGATCAACCGAGCAGTGACATCATGCGTTAAGGTATCGCGTTGAGGTATCGTCCTTAACGGGATGGTCGTCCGTCAGGACTGCGGACCCTATCGTTCCCGCGGTCAGGGGGACCTTGCTTGCCTCCCTTCGACTTCCCTTTTCCCTTATCAGATTTCCATTTGTCTTTGCCTTTATCGCCCTTTCCTTTTCCTTTGGGCTGCGGCGGTTGCCTTGGTGCCCTAATCGGCATCATCAACCAACGAATCGGCGGATCGAGCCGTCCCTGTGGGGACGCGATTGAGTCCTGATGGCGCAGTTGTGCCTCCGATAGACGATGCCATATCGGGTCCATCGAATCACCTTGTAGGAGGATTGGCTGGAGATCGGCCACGCGTCTCCGTTTTCGGAGCTGACTTCGTATCGTGAAGTTCCGGGCGCCATTCCTGTTCAGTCTTACGAGATTTATCGGGCGGATGAGAGGAGGTTCTTCCACTTTTGAAAGCAGGGTTGATCTTTTCAGATCGAATCGTGGAGCCTCCTGGCGATAGCGATCTATCGGCCGTGATAAGACGTCGAGTCGGTTGATCGTCATCACTCGTCCTAGGAGAGTAAGACGCGGTGGGAGGCTCAAGCCCAGCCAATCTCATGTTGGTTGGGTTCTCAGGATTCGTTCCAATATCGAATAGCAGTGTGGTGATCTCCTGCTTGAATATTGGAATCAGCCCACTTGAGTGATAGCTGGTATAGAGGTCTTTAATCGTGACCTCCCCAAGAACATCATCTTTGAATTTCGTAAGGATGCGGATCGGTTTTGGGAGCCGCAATTTGTCCGCTTTCGCCCAGATACCTCAATTACATCACCTTGTGTATGGGCAGCGGTCCTAGATGATCGGTCTGATGGAGGCGGCGGAGGAGGCATGGCCGGAGCAGGGGGTCTCTGATCAGTACCGGGTTCGAGACCACCCACGTGCTGACGATGCTGTGTCCTGGATCGTGTTCTCTCCTGGCTAGCAATGGCATCAGCGCGATCGAGATAATCGCGATCAGTGGATGCATCCGCTGCCGTGTCCCACTCGTCATCGTCAATATCGCCATCTGATAGAACAGGAACATCATGCGGAATGGTTTCAGTCCGACTAGGTCGTGATGCACCCGTAGCGGGTGTCGTCGCATCTGCCGATGCAAATCTAACAAACATTTCATTTTCCTATGTGTCCCTAAATTGGACATGTTGCGGAATGTTTCACTCCGCTATACATAGGCTCAAGCAGGGCTGAACACAGACCCAGACTGCCACGCGCCGTCCGGTGAAAAGTGAAAGAGCGATCCGGTGAATCAAGGGAACCTTAAAGTTTGGTTTAAAACTTTCATGGTAGCGGAGCTGCTGGCAAAGGCCAGTAGCTGAGGAAGCTGATCCAGGGAAGGCCCGAAGGGGCACTCAGCTGAAGCTGAACGGTGACCAGCGAAGGCTGGAAAGTGAAAGCAAGAAGTTAAGATTCGTCGAGAGCATCTTGCTGAGAGGAGAGTGAAAGTATCCGAAGGAAAGGAGCCTTGAGCCGGAAAAGGAACGACTTGCCAAAGCTGTTAAGCAATGGCGCAGAATGCGCAGCAGAGGCAATTTGCCGATCTGATGACGAATTTGGGCCTAGCGACAGAAGCTATGGCGAGAGTTGCTGCACAGACAGCACAGCAGCAAGAGCGGCTGACAGAAGCTCTTGAAAGGGTGAATGCTGGGCAAGGTCAAGCAGTTGAAGGACCACAAAGGCCAGCAACCCAAGGAGCCGGTGTGCCGTTTGACACCGGCGGGAAAATCTTAAAGGCACCTGAAGCATTTTCCCCGACGACAATAGAGGAGGAGGTCAGCCAATGGAGCGACTGGAGCTTTTCGTAACGGAACTTCCTGGCGTTCATGGACTGGGAATACCTGAACGACCTGAAGAAGGCTGAAGGAATGAGCACTCCGATAGTAGATAGCACCACTGTAGCTAGTGAGTTCTTTGATGGAAGAGAAGACCGAAGAGTGCGAGGAATCAAGCTTTACTCAGTGTTGAGCAGCTACTTGAGAAACCGACCGCTGAAAGTGTTGAGGAGCGTTGACAATATGAATGGGTTCGAAGTATGGAGAAAACTTACAGCAGAGCTCGAACCATCAGCAAGATCACGCAGCTTAGCAATGGCACAAGCGCTCGTTGGTTTTCCAGCAATGGGTAAAGGAGCATCACTGATAGATTATGCTTTGACATATGAAAAACTGGTGAACGAATATGAGCGACTATCCAATAGTCGGTACAACGACAATTTGAAAATCGGTACCCTTCTCAAGGGAATACCGCAGAACCTGCGACAGCACATTATGGTTGACATCAACGACCGCGCGACGTATTTGGACCTGAGAACGAGAATTCTGCAGTTTGAAAGGAGTAACCAGACGTGGTCTGCGGAAAACATCTTAGGATCCCTGAGTGTGCAGCCGCACAATGCAAGTAGTTCGAGCAAGGAGTACCAAGGACCGATACCGATGGAGCTGGATAGACTACATGGTGACAAAGCAAAAGGAAAAGGAGACAAAGGAAAAGGAGGAAAAGGAAAAGGTGACCAAGGAAAAGGATATGGAGGATATGGAAAAGGACGAGGAAAAGGAAGAGGACGATATGGAAAAGGAAGAGGAAAAGGATATGGAAGAGGAAAAGGATATGGAAAGAATGTGAGGCAAGTTGACAGCAAAGGCTACGGTGACAAAGGCAAAGGAAAAGGTGGAAAACGAGCTGGTGTTGTGTGTTACAACTGTGGCAAGACAGGTCACACTTCATCCGAGTGTTGGTCAAGACCACGAGGAAGTGACAAAGGAAAAGGAAAGAAAGGAAAGATCCGAAATGTGCGAGAAGATGAAGAGAGTGGAAACTGGAACCAAGAGTGGAATCAGAATGAGAACCAGCAAGGAATACAGAAAGGAAACCAAGAGACAGCAAACGTCAGAAGAGCTGGAGATGCTAAAGGCTCAGAACAAGTGAGGAGAATTGAGACAGGAAGAATGCCGATCATAGAATGAACTTGATGAAGAAGAAGATTTTGTTGACTTGGTTGGATTATTTGGAGAACCAGACGACGAAGGTTCTGTGAGAATGCTGAAGATGAAGAACATTCCTGTATGTGACATGAGCATGGGTGATGAAGAAGACTATGAGAAAGATGAACTGGATTGGTGGTATGAATCTTCTAAGAACCAGCAAGAATGGCTAGAGAAACTGTAAGCTTTGGAAATGTGGATGGGGTATAGAACCCAAGAATGCTTACTCAGCATATCTGAAGAAAGGAAAGACGATGATACCTATCCGGTTTGTCAGGAACTCAACGGTGACTGATTTGAGAATATACAGAGCCGAAGTGAAAGCTGAAAGCATGGAAGCTGAGAAGACAGTGAGGAAGCTTACGGTGACCAAAGAGATTGAAGATGATCTGGAAGGAATGAAGTACGAAGAACCATGGATGTACTTGAGAAGTGGAAAGCCTGTGAAAATCGACTGGGATACAAAGTATACGTACAATCCGATAAAGGATGACATCAAAGCGTTTCCGTATCGGACGACATTGCTGACGACCTACAATGGCGATGAGGTGAAATGGAACGAACTAGAGTTCTTTGAGCGCGCCGAGGAATGGAATGGAAGAGAGAGAGAGAGAGTGGAGATCACTTCGGACAAGCCATGGTCCGTTGTGGTAACAATCGTGGAAAGGAAACCTTGTGGAATGGAAGAGTATGGAAAGTATGTGAACCCACTGGAGAAGGATGTGGAAATGAAGGACAAGCAAAAGACGATTGAATCTCAGGAAGAGAAAGAATTTCTCAAGGAGCTTGACGCTATGGATGAGAGCAAAGGAAGAAGTGAAAGTGTTGA